CATCGGTCCCGAAGGGACGGGCTCCCACAACCATCGGTCCCGAAGGGACCGCGGCCGCCGCCAGCCCCCATAGCCATCGGCCCGAGTCGCGCATCTGAGGAGCCGGCTAGCCTTCGGTCAGGCCGCGTAAACACGGCGCCGCGCCCCCTCCGGCCGGCGCAGACAGACCTTTACCTTCCCGGAGGCCGACGGCCGGAGGAGCACGGGCAAACTTGTGGTTTCTAATGGCATCCAATTGGTTTTCCGCAACTTGTTCCGCACTACGGATACATAAGACTGGTTGCTTAGCGCCATCCGAGATTAGAGTTTAAACATGGGTGACGAATCAGGGTCTTAAATTTTCATGTTTGGTCTGATGGGATGATGTATGAGTCGCGCAGGTCAGATGGTTGGTAAAGCGAGATACGACCCGAGGGTGCGTGCCTTCGTCAACCTGTCCCCGGGTGCAATCGAAGCAATCTGGGAGTCTTTCAACGACGTCGCGGATGGCTTCGGGATAAGCTTATGTGAGATGCAGCTTATCTGCCAGGAACTAACATCGGAGTTAGAAGTCGGGCGACCTTTGCTTGATAAACAAGTACAATCATTATTTGCAAGAATGGACTCTGACGAGAATGCTTTAGTGGATGCCATTGAATTCCTGTCGACGCTCGCCATGACCTCAGGCATGTCTGGCCGCGATAAACTCGAATTCGTCTTCACTTGCTTCGATTTTGATGGTGCGGGGCAACTCAGCGTTGATGAGATAACGCTTGCTTTTCGATGTACGTTGGTGGGACTGTGCAAGCTCACTAAAGAGGTTTGTCCGTGCGAAGAAGAGCTCGAAGTTGTGGCTATGCGGGCGTTTTCAATAGTGAGCTCTGCCCCCGCTAGTAGTGAGATCGACAACGCAGCAAAAAGTATGGCCGAACTAAACTCATCACTGCGCCTCTCCAAGCTCCGCATATTGGTACTCTTGCCCAGCGTCGAAAGATGCCCAATACGGTGCAACACCAATTTTCCTGCAGGATGCAATCGCA